CAAAAGGGGAGCACCTCGGAGCAGCCTGGCAACTCTCCCGAGGGGAGTGTGTGCTGACCCTCGCCTAGACAGGCTTTTATTGTTTTTTTTGTTGTTGTTTTTTTTTGCACAGGAGTTCAGGTACAACTTATTAATCATTGTCAGAGAGTAAACAGTAGACAGTATACAAAGAACCATTAGGGCTTCTTCTAAGTCAGGGACTATCAGTTAAAATGCTACAGAATTTCAGGAAAATAAACTCATTTCCTGCCTGGGTCTTTATCATGTAACTAAAAGCATTTCTAGCAAAGTGGGCTTCACAGGATTGTTAGGCATTCTTTCTTATGCCGGATCACCCTGGACCCCCCTCTAGACAGGCAAAGGGCTGTACCACCTTCCCTGTCACAGGTTTTCAGGCTTAAGTGGATTAGAGCCAGAAAGCACTTCTCCCAGAGGACATGGGGACTGAGCTATGTCAGAATAGCTGCGGGGCGAGGGTCCATCACTCCCTCTTTGTTGCAGACCCCTGAGTCCTTCCATGATGACCTCCCAAGTGATCGTGTCTGGCTTAGGTTGCCCCTCCTCTGAGGGGTCATACCCATCATAGACTATCCGACCATGCATTGGGGGCAGGAAGGGAAGTAGGTAGAGGTAGCATTTGCTACCAGAGACAAGCTTTGTCTCTTTGTGGCTCACATCCCGGAGGCTGCTCACTCAGCCTTATCTACGGGAGACGGTTACAATTCCTGAAACCAGGCAGAGCGGTTCCCAACAAAGGAAACTAATGAAATTTCTAATGAAGATGGAAAACAAGTGGGAGATAGAAAAATCTCATTTTCAGCACTAATGAATACCATGATAAAGTAAAATGTAAAACAAGAACAGAAAAAGGAAGGGACATAAAAAGGAAGGGACATAAATATAGAGAACAAATGAAGAACATAAACACACTGGAAGGAAACATTACTTATCCAATTGTGAAGTGAAGATGGAATCCCTAAGAATAAAAACTAAGATGAAAAAACTACCTAAGGAAAGACTGACTGATAGATTTGATAAGTTTAACTGTGATTACTTAAGTATTATTGATTTTAATTATTTTTAAAAAGCTATGCATCAAAATATCATAAGCAAAATTGTAAAATATACTGTATGGGATCAAAGTATGCCACCCCCAAAATATGCCACTTTGCATGAGGATGATTTTCAACTGGAGGCAAATGAGAATCAACAGATGCACAAAGAAGCCCTGTCAAAGCCTGGCTTGTCTGACTACAGCGGAGACTTCGGAGAAATGAGGGCTGCCCTAAGTCCCCTCTCCTGGGGGAATTTTATGGCCACGAAGATGATGGGAAGTAATCTTACTAGAATGGCCCTTATTCCCCATTAGTGTCCCTCAGATTTTATCCTCCCAGGCATGCTGCCCCTACAGCTGAATGCCCTTTTCCTCTTTCTTGTTGCTTCACTACCTATTTTTCGTTCTTTTGTTGAGATGCTGTATAAGCCCAAGTTCTAACCTGCCCTTTGCGTCACTCATCACGGAGCCCTCCCACATGCATGCTAGCTGCACATGTTAATAAACTCCGCTTTTTTTGGTTAACCTGTTTTTGTCAGTCTGATTTTCAGGGCCCCAGCCACAGAACCTAGGGAGGGAAAAGGAAAGAGTTTTTTTCCTCCCCTACAATATCCAAAGGATTAATATCCTTAATATGTAAGTATTTACATAACAATATAGACTAATATTCCAACTAGAAATAAGTAAAGCAACCAGACAATTAACAAAATATGAAACAAAATGGCTAAAAATTACTTGGGAAACCCTCAATTCCACTAGTGAAAATCAAAACTTAATATTTTATTTTCTAAAAATAATTTTTAAAAAATTTCCCAAAGATGCAGGAGAAACAAAAAGGTGCAAATCTGTGTTAGGAGTATAAACTAGGCACCGTGGTTCCAGAAGGCAGTTTGGCAACAGGCATGACATGACTTGAAACAGCGAACGCTCCCTATCCCAGCAATTCGCTCCCGCCAACTTCTTCCCAAGGAAAGGATCAGACGCCCGCAAGGGTCCTGGTGCAATGGTATTCGAGGGGTGCAACTTACACGAGAAAAAAAGGGAACTTGACTAAATGTCCAACAATACTATAGAACATTAAAATTTTGCTTTTGAAAACTAATAATTGAGGGGGAAAAAGGTTCACTATATAACGGTACAAGAACGCCTCAGAATAAAAAAGCAGTAAATAGATGTTTATGTATGCAGAGGAAATTAGAAGACAACATTCCACAATATTTGAAGTAATTGTCTCTGGAGGGTTGAATTAAGACAGTTTTATTTTCAGCTTTATACTTTTGACTTTTCCTAACTTTCTACAGTTAATTTATAAACCTTGTAATGAGAGAAAAAATATATAGGTAAATGCAATGTAAACTACCATGGTGGTAGGTAGAAGTGATGTTGGCAAGGGTAAGACAAAATAATAAAAAATAAAAAATAACAACCTAAGCCTTTTCTACCTTTTCAGAAACATGCATTTTATCACAATCTAAGAATTTGGGCCTAGAGAAAGCTTGTTTGGAAAGTGACTGGGGACAAACCAGGTCTTTGTAGCCTGAAGTTCACTTATGTTAATGCATACTGACTAAGGCAAAAAAAATTTTTAGAGAACTAAATGAAAAATCTCCCCCAAGTTTCATCCTTTGTAGTGGAGATCCCCACTGAGCCGGTGCCATTAGAAACCAGGAGGGTTTTACCAGTCACTGTGCAAGTAAGTCAGCTGCGAACAGCCTAAGTACAGATGGCTAAGAAAAAAGGATGACACATTTCTGCTCAGCACCACAAAGGAGATAATACTCCCTAAAATTTCAAAAGCTTAAATAAAACAAAATTCCTTAATGAGTTGGAGAAATTTAAAGAAATATCAGGTGAGCATTCTTCTGCAACCATTTTTCCTCCTCAAGTGGTATTTCAGCAGCTTAAAGCACTTTTTTATACCATGGTCTTGCCATACCTTGCATTTCTTAACTAGAAACAGTGGAAACAGCCAGACAACAGAGAAATGCACACTCTTGGACACACAGGCTGACCCCACACGATTGGTCACAGACAGACAGAAGGAGCATTGCACAAACTGGACTGATGAAGCACATTAGCTATGGTCAGCTTCTCAATGTTTAGGCAGCTATGCTATCCTGTGTTTTTCAAATATTTTTTATCTAGCAATATAAAAACTTTTCTTCCTAAAAGATTCTATCAAAATTTAAGCTATACCATGTGTTTTGAAAATTATTCTCTACTTTTTGCCCCAAAGCCCATCCTCCAATTTTAGGAGGTTCACTTTCAACAGTAGCCAACGCAGCTGCTTGTGAGAGCTGGCAGCCTTGCAAGCTTCCTTAATGACATAATGAACGTCCTTGCCAGGTTCCGTGGGAGAATTTTTTAAGTTTTGCTTGATGCTCAAATTGCTCCTCACCTTTTTTTTCCCAACTTAATGCCAAAAAGGCACGTTGAGGAAGATAGTTGTACCACAATCTACTGCAGGGGTGTCAAACTCATTTTCACCAGGGGCCACACCAGCCCTGTGGTTGCCTTCAAAGGGCCAAATGTAATTTTAGGACTGTATAAATGTAACTACTCCTTAACTGGGTGCAAGGAGCTCAGCCCTGCCGCCGGGCAGAAACAAGGTGCCCGCCAGCCTGTGTTTGCCCCCTGTGCTCTGCTGCAAGCCTCCTCATGCTAAGATGGAAGGCACAGCTGACTGGCCAATCTGTATTCCCACACATTTTCGGGAAAACCGCTCTGAACCACAGCATTAAAGCTGCTTAATTTCTTAAACTTCACGTCATCCCACTTTTGACTAATGTAGTAATCTGGGGTTCATTCTAACCCCCTCACACAATGATCTTCATGTTCTTTTTTTCTTCCAATGACAACTCCTATCGCCTGCTTCCTTGGCTGCCATGCTCTCTTACTGGCGGAGGAGAAATAGAAAATACACTGCTTCAGTTACTGGCATTGGGGGCTTTCCAGTTCTTACTGAATTTGAGCATTTTTCAAAGGGCAAGTTTCATCTGTCATAGTGGAAAGGGAAAGAGAAAAATAACCACCCAAACAGGCCCAAGGTAGCCGATGTGGGATTACCTTTGGGAGGACAATACTGGGAGGCACTCTTTTTTCCCTTTACTTTTTCTTAGAGGAAATAAAAGATATGTATAACTTTAAGCAGAAGTTTACATTATTGAATGTTACTAATTTGGTACAATGCCCTCGACAGCATTTGGGGAGGCTGAAAACATATCCCATGAGGCAGTAAAGATTATAAGCAATGCCCTTTTCATGCCTAAAACCTTGGCAAGTTACTCCAAAGTCTGCAATGCATATTTTACTAATGGCCCTCACCAACTACCTCTAAAAAGGGAAATTAAAAGTGAATGCTATAAAAGAGGTTTATTGCAAAACCAGGGGAAAAAAAGAAAGAAAGAAAAGCAACCTCACAGCCCTGAGCATTAAACAGGAGGAAACACTCATGCCCTTAGTGAATATCAGAACACAGGCTTCCAGCACACTAATTTATACTGAGTAACTTGAAGACCCTTAACTTGAGAAACTGAAGTTGTTTCATGTGCTAATAGAAGATATCCTTTGGTATAATCAAGTGCATGAGCAAAACTGGACTATAACATTAACATCTAAAATGGTCTCACTAATTCTGGAAAGGAGCCAATGTTCAAGGGGAACATTTGAAATTAGGATCAGAAAATTCTTGGAATGAGAAGGACCGATGATTGTTCAGGTGTGATCAATCCTGCAAGAACTCAGAGGCAGAAGGAAAATCATCTTTCGTTTGCTAGAAACAAATGCCTCAATCCCTTCCCAATGCCTGGCAGGCTATGACCCTGACTTTAACACAGCCCTGTTAAGCTCCCTTTATGACCCGACTCACCTCTGTCATCTGTCACCCCCTCACCCCGTTCACATGCTCACCCCTCTGCCGCCAGCCCTCCCCTGAGCCAGCCCCGCCAAAGTACTCTCCAGTTCCTAAAGAGCCTCACTGCCCTTTGCTGCCTCACTCTTCAGTGTCTGCCTCACAATTTCCACACACCCCCAATTTTTCTGGGTCAATGGCTATTCAAGAGATAAAGTTCATTTCACCAAAATTATTTAACATTGCATATCACCTAGGTTAGGGTCAGAGAGTACGGCAGGCTTTCGTGCATTTTTTTCTTTTAATAAGCATCAAAGGTATTAATTACCTTTGAAAGCATGCAATTAAGGAAAAGGGTACAAAATTACAAAGATTCAAATGAATATATTCCCAAATTTCTATCAAGTTTAATAAACTCAATTGAGGGGATCTCTTTTTCTGAGGCTGGACCTGGTGACCCTTCTCTATACTTCTATGCCATCCTGTACTCTTGAGAAACTCCCAGACTATTTATCACAATTTTTATAATTGCTGGCTGTTTATAAGTCTGACTTTCACTAGCTCAGGGGTTAGCAAACTGCAGCCTGCTAACCGAATACAGCCCTGACACTTGTTTTGAAAGTAAAGTTTTATTGGAATTACGCAGAGTTGAGTAGTTACAACAGAGATCATATGGCCTGCAAAGCCAAAAACATTTACTATTTGGCCCTTCATAGGAAGTCTGCCAACCCCAGCACCAGAGAGCATTCCTCAAAGAAAGGAACCAGGCCTTATTTCTATTCCCCTGGTCCCTAAGCCAATGTGTGGCATAAGGAAGGGACAAAGGGACAGTGTCATGTAGAAACTGCCACTCCCAGAAGTCAAAGGCTTTTTGCATCTGCATGTGTTCACTGTGCGAAGCATCTTAATCCTTTTTCCTCTGTGATTAGAATTTAATTTAAATAATTAATACATAATTATTATACAAAATTTATATAGGCAATTTAGTTTTTAAATGTTTCCCCCAAACTTTTCACTATCAGTTATTTTCCCCCGGAGAAAGATAATTCTAGCTTTATTATAAAAGCCAACAGAATATTGGTTACAGAGAAATTTATTTAAAACAATGAGTAATTCTCTCTTTATAGAACAAATCTGTTATATAAGTTGGGCACTGTTCTAAGAAGAAAGGAAACAAAGATTTGTTAAGTACCCACCATGGTCCAGGCACTCTGCTGATTGCTCTGACTAAGCTCTTTCACTCAGCCACCACTGCAGGCCTACGACACAGATGTGATTACCAGTGTGTCCATTTCACAGGTGAGGAAACTGAGACCAAGACAGGTGAAGCAAGTAGTCTAAGGCGAAATGGCTTTTAAGTAAATCCATTTCTGATTAAAACAGGTTCTTTCCCCCAATAAACTCAAAGAAACAGCCCAAGTTTATGCAAATAAAAACAATTCACTTGTTTATATTAAATTGTTACAGGTTATAGCATTTGTGTTGCCAGGTATTTGATAAACTTCATGTACATGGAGGCCCAGCGTTATAGAAGTGCAACAGGCTCTGCTGTTATTCATTGTTACAGTGACCAAACGAAAATAACTTATAAAGTGCCTGTGAACAGCAGGCATTTAATACGTGGCACCTATTAAAAATATCACAGTACCTTATTTGTCATAGAATTTTAATGCTGAAATGCTGGAAAAAGCCAAGGTCAACCTCCCACTTTTAACAACAAGAAACCTGAAGCCCAGAGAGGTGATGTGACACTCAAAATAACAAAGCCTGAAGCTGACCCACACGTGGGCAGAGCCCAGGTCTCCTTGGGCACAGTCGTGCACCCCAGGCTCCCATGGAAAATCTCATTTCCTGACCACTCCCCCCTCCCCCCATGCACAGGGACAAGTGGTTCTCCCGCACACCTCACCCGTCAGTTACTGCCGAGCAAGACAATAAAAAGAAACTGCAATTCCTACCCTCCTGGTCATTCTGTCTGCCTTCACTCTAGTCCAAAACGCTTACAGCATAAAGGATTTTTAAAAAATTAACTCAACATTTTAATTGAGACCAACTCTTGGGCCTCCTGTCAAATAGTCATCTCTTTTATAATTTATGAATCAGAGTAGTTGAGAAGCCAAACCAGTTTTTCTCCTGTTTCAACTGGTTTAATCATCTTGAAAGGACATGAATGATATGAAGTAAAAAGGCCTCTTCAAGCAAGGATGTTGTCTGTCTTGTCCAACTCAAACTGGAAACTAGTACAACTGGAAACAGCTGACACCAATCTACTAAAATAAAGGTCCACAAAACCCTCAGGCTGTACCCGGCCCACACTGTGTCCCAAAGTTACTGAACTCAACAAATGGTCTAACAGAAGTGGGGCACGCTTTTTTGAACTTTTACCCATTTGGTCTTTGTCTTCATTGCACTTGACCTGGGCTACAGCTCACCATCATCTCTGAGGAAGAGCATCACAGACAAACAAGAGCCTGGAGGGGGCGAGGAACTTAGGGACCGACATGGGGGCTGAGCCCAGGGCCCAAATGCTGCTGTCAAGAGCAACTGGGCATCATGGTGAGAGCGCGGATTCTGACTCAGATGGACCGAGATTCTTGGTAGCTTTCCCTCGATGGTCCTGTGACCCTGGGCAAGTTATTTCACCTCTTGGGTCTTCAGCTGCAACAGCTATGATACAGGAGTCACAAACCCTGTAATACAGGTTTGTCATGAGTCCAAAATAATGTAAAGTGTCTAGTGTAGTAACTGACACAAGGTGATTATGACTCATTAATTTTGCCAGTCATTTAAGCAGCTCCTTGGGGGCTTATGTATGATGGTAAGTAACATTTGAATATGAGAAGAAAAAAACTGCTTTCAAAAAGGACTTTGACATTGGAAGTCTGCATTGTTCATTTAGCCTTACTCCTAACTGATCTGAACTAAGAGGTATGCTACCAGTTTACATCCTGTCTGCATAGCCAGCACCAGAAGAACAAGTGGGGGAGGTAGGTACAGAGGGTGCCCCCAGGGTCCTGCTGTATTCACAGCTAGGGAATGCGGCTGAGGGGAGAACAGGCTCAGTTCCATACCGGGTTCTCCAGGCCTTTCCCATCCTTCACCGGAGCTCAGGATGCCCTTCACTTTGACCTCCCAGCAGCACACTGAGAACAGCAGCACAGTGCCATTTCCCAGACTTCCCACAATCGTTCATTAAATATACTATTTCTCTCACCAAAATGAAAAAAAAGTAGGTTGGTTCTCAGGAGCTAACAACACTCCTATATCTAAAAGGGTGTTTTTAAATTTTTTCCTTGAACTAACTATTAATCTCTTAAAAACACCGCACTTAACTGGCAATGCGACGGCAAAATGTGACTGTGCAGTCTGTTTCTGCAGAGAGCACGGTGTGTTGGTGCAGTCCCCGGGGGCAGGTGGGCAAGAAGGGTGGCTGAGCCCCAGGGAGCTGAGAGAGAACAGGGTCTTCACCTTCTACTCTGGGTGCCTCTGACATCCTGGGGAATATGTTAACTGACATACAGTTAGTTCATCAAGGTATTTCCTCAAATAAATCTCAAAATCATCCTTAAGGCAAAGCCAGAACCATCTCCCTGAAGAGTACTGCTCACTGCTGTGAACCAACTCTCCTGAGGACAGACCCCAGGAACCCACTGAGGGCCTGGCCAGATGTGTGGGAAATGAAGATGGAAGTGGAAATGGAGAATATACTACACAATTCAAACCCCAGCAAGAAGAGAGAGGGGAGGGCAGAGACCCTCTGAGCCAAAGTAGCTGCCACGTCACCAAGTCAGGGCCCTCGGATAGTCTGCAAAGTGGCCCTCCAGCTCCACTGCGCTGCCCTCCATCCTCCAGGTTGGAGAATGATCCAGGACTTTGTACTGGTGGCGGGGCCTCAGACAACCAGCTGCAGGGAAGACGTCCTCCTGCTGCTGCTGGATTTGGAATCATAGCACGTAGAAACCAATGGGGAAGCCCCTTACGAGGAACATGATAAGCAACTGTTTTGCTTCTGATGATTTTTTTTGAAAACCCTGGTCCTTCTGCTATAGTACAATATTAAATGCAATCAGTATTTGTGATTCCCTGGGCATGGCCTTGCTTAGCTAAGCCAGGGCACCTGGATTCTATCCCAGCCCTATGGCATGCTCTGAAAAGGTATAGTTCACAGACAATCCAAAATAATGCTCCCTACTAACCACTGATTCAACAGAGCAGACTTAACAAAGCTTTTCGCAGGTCGACCACTTCTCCCATTAGGTATCCCTCACTCTTTCTCCCTCTGTAAGGCAGGGGTGTCAAACTCATTTTCACCAGGGGCCACATCAGCCTCATGGTTGCTTTCAAAGGGCTGAATGTAATTTTAGAATTGTGTAAATGTAACTAGTCCTTAACAGTTAAGGAAGAACTTGGCACTGCCGCCGGGTAGAAACAAGGTGCTGGGCTGGATAAAACAAGGTGGAGGGCCGGATTCGGCCCATGGGCCTTGTGTTTGCCACCTGTGTCTCAGTAGAAGGTACTGGAGCAACCACTTCCTTCCTGTATATTCTCAGTCCAAGGGAACATAATCTCAAGGAAATTCTTTCCAGAGTCCAGACCTCCCTGTACAACATTTTCTCTCAGTTGGAGAGGCCGTTTCTTGCCATGAGACACCCATTCTCTTCAGAGTTGCCTCTGAGTGGAGAAGTACAGGAGACATTGCTCACAAAAGAGGAATAGTAACCATAACTTCTTACCTCACATGGTCACCTGCTCCCTCATCCTGTGCCTTCAACTTCACACAATGGTCAAGGCAGATGACCCCAAGTTCTGTCCTCCTGCAAAATGGTTTTTTCCCCTCTATGTCACTGGCCAACAGCCAGCATCCTGATCCAGGCTGCTGGGACCTCATGCACATTTGTAGAGAATGGTGCAGCTTCGGTGTTTAATGACTGTTTGGTCACCTACTGAGTGCCAGAGCCCAGGGAAGCAGCAGTGCAGAAAGTGCTGCCTTCACTGCTGAGGTCAGGGTGTGAGTGCAGAGAACAGGCCGTGCATCAGAACTGACAAGAGTGAGAAGTAACAGGCTGCGACAGTGGATGCATACGCTGGGCCGTGGGAACAGAGGAGCCCAAGGTTGTTTCGGTGCACTTTAGTAGTCACTTTCTCTTCTAATTTCCAAGCCTTGGACAGGCATGGGACTGGGTGGTGAGAAGACAGTTCCTTGCACTGGAAGAGACTAGAGCTGTGGAGGAGGGAGGGGGCGTGCACTGGGGCCAGACACTGAGAGCACAGGGTGGAGACATGCAGGGGGCAGCTCCTGCAGGGAACCTGCATACCATGCTGCAGGGTGGAGAATTTATCAGAAACAACTTTTAAATAGAATTAAATGTTCACTGAAATGAAACCTTATTTTGGCTTTTGCTTGATGCTGCTGCTGTCAGAAATACAAAAATATACGACCTATAGCTGCAGGCTGTTGGTCAATAGGCTGAAGGACATGGATAAACCCAAAGGAGGATTATCCCTGTCAGTCACTGATACCCTGGTGTGAACTGCTTCTCTCTCTTAGGTAAGATTAGTTGTTCAGGTGTTTCAGAAAGTAGGACTAGAATGAGGAAATTTTGAGAAAGAGGGCATTTTAGGGTACCTAGGAACTACACCTAAATAAGGAGATGTTGAATAGCTGGGTGTGATGCAGGGCTAAAGGAAGACGGGTTCTGAAAGTGAGAAAACAGAGCAGCCGAGTGTCCATGGCTCAGCTGGCTGGCCACACACCGTGAAGACAGTCACTGCCAGGGCTGATCTTAATCGCACCCTGTGAACTGCCAATGCTTCTTGTTCTAAAGGTTAAAACTAATGGTCAGAAAATTGCGGTTCGCTGTATGAGGCACAGTAGTCGTCTGTACGACTGCAGACAAGGACTCATATTACATGTGTGTTTCAAAGCACACACACTGCTGAGGAGCCTGAACATCGACCATTTCATTTAATCCCCATGGGATGATGCAGTAAGTGTCACCTCCACTTTGCAAATTAGGTTCCAAGAGGCTTCGCAGTGGTAACGCGGCAATGCTGGGATTCAGATCAGGGTCCTCTGCACTGTGCTGCGTGACAGGCTCCCCACCTCTGCTCCTGGACCTCAGTGGGAGCAGCACCTGCCGCTAAAGGGCCCTGGCCCTGCTGAAGGCCCCCTGGCTTCTTCAGAACACCCAGCATTGGAGGTGCAGTTGACTGTGAGGCTGTGAAGAAACGTACACTGAAACTCGTTTTTAAAATGTCTTTTTATCAAATCATGTGACTACTTTAACAAAACCTAAAGGAACCAAGCGTTTCTGCTGCGGTGCATAACTAGTCTTCTAAACACAAAATACCTAAGTGTTGGGAGAACTTTCAGTATTTATTCTCCTGTATTTATTCTCCGACTCAGTAATTTCAACAGCCATCATGATAAATGTATCATTTATGCTGAACACTGTGGGACCTCCAATCTTCACTGCTATCTCAATAGAAGCCCACCACCAGTTGCCTACCCTGCTTTGAAAGAAATGCAGTTCAACTTGGGATGACCAGTGTGCATGAGCACAAACAAGCATAAGCAAGCACGAACACACTTCCTGACACTTGCTGAGTGATTTGTAAACAGAGAAATGGGAAAATCCTGCTTAAAAGCCACATCTTTCGTATACTTAAAAACATGGGAAATGTCTGACTGCATTTCATTGCTTCCTTTATGGTTCTTGGACAGGCACTGAGAAGTTGGGAGGGCTGACTCTCCTTGCACTCACTCCTTCCTGCTGGGAAATACTCCTCTAGTTCCTTCCTGAACCCAGTGCAGGGGACAAATAGGATCCTGCAGGGCAGGTTCCATAAGAAGAGAACTCCCCTTGCCTGGGCCTCTAGGAACTGGGCGGTGCTGCGCTCCACATTCAGCTGTGGGCTGAGCGATAGAAGAGGCTCCATCTGTTTTTGTCTGGGGCTTTGCTCCAGGTCCTTTAACCCCTGAGCTGCCTGCCCTCACAAGGCTGACCCAGATCTTCTTAAAGAAGGAAATGAGCAGGAGGTTCTCCTCAAGGACCCCACATAGCAGGAGGTGGCTACAGGCAGGAGTACTGGTTGCTCAAAGCCACTCCCCTGTTTACAGGACACAGGATGAAACGTCAGCACACCTAGTTAACTGCCCTCGGGTGACAGGACAGCAGCTGACTGGCAACACCGTTTCCGGGTGTGGCTTCTCCCTGCTCACACACACTCCTGCCACCATTGCCATTCCTGGGGCCTCCTGCTCCACGCTGGGAGTGGTTCACCGCAGCTGCGGGGCTGCAGCTGTCTGGGGCAGGGAAGCAGGTACTGGATTCCTGCCCCTTAAAGGCGGTAGCCTCCTCCCCCACATGCACGCTGCCATCCTGCTTCCCGCTCCTAAAAAGAAAAGAGAAAGAAGGGAGCTTACCTAGATGAAAAAAAGTCAAGATTTTTTACTAGCTACTCTGACCTTGTCAATCAACTTTTAAATATTAGAATTGGAAGGTAATAAGAGGTAGAAAGGATTTACAGAATGTGGAGTATAATCTTCATGACAATCTACGCATCATAGTCACAAACTGGAAACAACCTGAATGTGCACAGCAGGGAAAGAAGTGAACAAATTGTGGTAACACACACAAAGGAATGCTACTGAGCAAAAAAAAAAAAAAAAAAAAAAAAAAAAGGGACAGTTGTTCATTTACAGTAACATGGGCAAATTTCAAAGACGGTGCTGAAAGTGAGCAGACACCAAACTCTACACACGGTAGCATCCCATTTCTAGAACATTCTGAACCAGGTGTAACTAAGCTGTGGTGGTGACAATAAAAGCACTGGTTGCCTGTGGGGTGGGTGGATGGGAGATGGGTTTGAGGGAATTCACCAGGGTGACAAAAATTCTGTATCTTAATTTAGGTGGTGATTAATGGGCATACTATGAGTCGAAACCCACTAAACTTACATTTAAAATACATATGCATATTTTATTCCATGTTCGTTATACCTCCATTTTTTTAAATCTGGGAAATTATTTTAAATGGGCTCCTAATAATGAGGCAGAAATGTCCAGACTCTTCCTCCATCCATTGGCCCTCGGTGGCAGGAGGCAAAGGGGAAGGAGAAGCCAGCAGTGTGGACAAGTCCCTAATGGAAGACCCCAAACAACCAGATTAATTAACCTCAGAAGGAAGGCATCTTCAGCAGTGGATGTCTAGGCCCAGAGCTCAAAACAGAGAGTGAACAACTCACATAATTGTTATTTCAAGGCCTGAGGTTCTTAACAAATAAGATTATGGGTCCTACGTTGGTTCAAAAAAAGAACATTGTTGTAACTGTATCAAAAGCAAACAAAACAGTCCCCTACCGTTGGCCTACACTCCTAACGAGAAGGAATCAGAGAAGCCAGCAAGGCAATCCTGCTGGTAAAAAGCTCCAGGCCGTGCTGGCCTCCAGAAGCCCCTCCCAGAGGCACTGGTGCACCAGCAAGAACTGAATTCAGGCCGCCGCCACCTGGCTTGGTTGTATCACATCAGCCATGTCACTTACATAATCTCTCTGAACTGCAGCTTCACTGTGAGTAAACCAGAGGCAGGCCCACTCCTCAGGAGGGCTCTTGTCAGGATTCTGCTTTGATGCACCTAAGATGCTCAGCCAGGTGAACCTGTCACAGCCGCCTTCCTCCTCCCTTCCTCCTCCTCACCCCCTCCACCTCCCGTGAAGGGCGCCTACAGGTGCTCCTACCCCTGCTCACAGCCACCTCCTCCCTTTATCTGTTCCCTTCTGTCACTACCTTGATTCCAACCACTTCAGCCAACTTCACTTGCGGAACCATAATTTTACAACGTAATTTTAAAATGGGGTGGAGAGCCCTTTTCTTGCTAAACTGGTATGAAGGGCAGAATTGCCATATAAGCCTCTTCCCTTCGCCCTGAAACAACTCTGGTGTGGGCTGAGTTACGTCCCCTCAACAAGATCTGGTGAAGTCCTAACCCCTGGTGCCTCAGAATGTGACAGTCTTTGGAGACAGGATCTTTACAGTGGTAATTAAGGTAAAATGAGATCACTAGGGTAGGCACTAAGCCAACAGGAAATCTGTGCATAGAGATACACATGGAGGGAAGATGAAGGGAAGACACACTGGGGAGAAGGCCCCGTGAAGCTGTGGGGGCCTCAGGCCTGCGGTGACGCCTCTAGAAGCCCAGGAACACCAAGGCCTGCAGCAGCCACCAGAAGCCAGGAAAGTGGCCTGGGGCAGATCGGAATTTCTTTGATGCGTCTGCTCTCCCGCTTCCTTTTAGCTGAGTGGGGTCTATTTTATGTCACCATCACCACCAGGCCCAGGACTTCAATATCAATAGCACAGGCTCCTGCAGAGCCCTTTCCATTCTCTCCTAGCACTAAGCACCACCCTCTTATCCCTCATCTCCTCCACCACAGCCAGTTTTGTCTTCTGCAAATGTGGAAGCTTTTATTATGGAAAGAGCACAAATTTTAGAGCTGAGGTATTGCATTTTAGAATGTTGATTTCACCAATCATTAACAGTGTGTCCCTGGCCCATTTCTTAGCATCTTAGTCTGTTTGCTCACCAATCAGATGCTAGTAACAGGGCTGCCTGCTGCAGGGGTGAAATAAGTGGACTGCTCACAGCACCCAGCACACGGCTGGGAGATGAAGGGTGCCTGTGACATGTTGCCAGATCCGTGCTTTCAACAGTTTCCATAACCCAGCAGGGAAAGTTTGGACTTCTCTGTAGAGAGCAGGGGGCTGTGATGGTGACTTATAGTGCCTCTTCCCCACACCATTCCTTTTGGAACCCAGTTTTGTGTAGGCCCCCTGCACCCCTTGTGACTTGGAGGAAGGTGCCCCGTCTCACGCACACAGCACGCCCTGGTGAGTGGTGTTGCTCAGGGACTGGCGTTCAGCCTGAAGTGGTATAGGTGAGAGAAGACTCATGCTCTGAGGAAAAGGAGAAGATTGTTGTTCCCTTTTTCATTCCCTCTTCTCCAACTCAGGAGCAGGGGTAGTGAATAAGCCAACAAGGCCAGCCACCTTGCAACTACAAAGAACTCAGCACTTGTTATGGGCTGACTGGGTCCCCTCAAAATCCCCAGTACCTGAGAGTGTGACTGCATTTGGTGACAGGGCCTTTAAAGAGATAGTTAAGTTAAAATGTGATCATTAGGGGTGGCCCCAACACAATATGACTGTGTCCTGATAAGATTAGGACACACACACACACACACACACACACACACAAGGCAGAAGGTGTGCGGACACCAGGAGAAGGGAGCTACCACAAGCCAAGGACCAAGGCCTTGGAAGAAATCAACCTTGCTGAAGCCTTGATCTCGGATTTTCAGCCTCTAGGACTGGAAGGAAATAAATTTCTGTTGCTTAAGACTCCCAGCCTGTGCCTGTGTTATGAGAGCCCAAGCTGACCAACACAGCATTAGAATGAACCACTGCTGAGGAAGGCCGAGGAGAAAGACAAAAAGGGCTGTGGGCTACGGCCTATCCTATCTCTGGGCTTCCAGAAATGTCGTAAGTTTTTCTGTGTATTTTTCACTCCATCTGATTTGAGGTTTTCAACTATTTGCAGCAGACAGTACCTTAACTGCCTCCTTCAGCTTTCAAACCCTTCACAACATTGTACATTCTCTCTTCCTAACCAAAACAAATGCTTCCTCGTACTCCTTCCCATCAGGAAACCTACATCCTAGTTATTCCTGATTCATACTCTGCCCTTCCCATCTTCATCCTTTGGCTCGATGCTTCCCTCTGCCCAAAAGGCTTCCTTTCAGCCCATCTCTGTCTATCAGGACCACCCATTCTTCAAGGAACAACGCTTAGGTTCCTTTTCCCCTGCAGTTCCCCACCCAGTGTCTTGCACATACGATCTGCTCAATAAACATTTGAACATTACATACTACTCTGGATTTTTCTTCTATGATGTCTCCCCTGCCTACATTTTTAACTACTACGTGAGATTACACCACTATATTTGCTATACAAATTCAAACAGATCAGCAAAGAAAGACTGCTGTGTATCATCATCTGCCTATACGTAAGAAGAAAAATGCCTTTTGGAGACTTAATAACCTATTCTCAGTATGATAAATGACAAGTCTTTGAAGTCCCTGGTTACATTCTGTTTATTCAAGGTCATTTAGGTTTCACAAAAGTGGCTGTTGGAAATGAGATTCATAACCAAGGTGGCAGTTTTGCTTTTCCTTTTGGGCTCACCTAAAATCAGTCAAAAAGAACTAGAGTTTCAAATGGGGAAAAACAATATGGCAGATGAAAAATTAATTAAGTAGAGAAACCACAGCTTGAACCACACACAGTTCAACTAAATTCAAACATGTTATCAGCAGACACACTAAAACAGACAACAATAAAAACACACACCCTCATAAACTTGATGACATTCATTTTTTAAAAGTTGCTTCTTATGAGACTTACCAGTAAAAGATTAAGAACAAATCTTCTATTAAAATTCAATTGTCAAAAACCCTACTCTGGAATGTAGAAGGTTTGATGGCTCACCATATAACGCATCTCCAAAAACGACCCGGCTGTGGGCAGGCCCCACAGAGACGCACCACCTTCTCTGGCCCCACTCCTCTCACTGGGCGACCACTCGTGGAAGCATTGTCAATCTTCTACTTGAAAATTATTTCTGAGTGCCAGAGTGTCTACTCTGCCCAGCCCAGAACACTCATTAAGTCTCACCATCTATAGCTCTTTCCTAGGGGACACCAAGAATGTCAGCCAAACCTTTAAAAAGAGATGCGAGTGAGTGGGACAGACAGCCAGGGCTCTGAACATCGAAGTGGGGAGGTCGGCTCGGGTGAGCAGTGGGGGCACCTCGTCAGTAGCCCCGGTAACACCTGGCAAGCCTGCCTTCGGAGGCGCGTGTGTCGTCATTGGAGATGTCACTCTCAGATCACTGCAGGACTGCTGCCTGTGCCCCAGAGGGCAGTGAACTCTGACCTGTTACTCAGCAAACGTACTTACTGCTTATGTGTGGTTCTGGCCTCTAACTCCTGGCGCCTGTCTCCTGGGGGACTTCTCATTTCCAGTGCTGAAAACACGACCAGACTTCTTACCAGCGGTTAATTACGGAAAAGCCTTGTCAGAATTAGGGATATTTTGCACATAAATACCTTTTACGTCCAAATAAATGTTTTCTTTTCAAGTATAATCAAACATTATTCTAAGCAGAGGTTCAAAGGACCTACTTTAATGAGTGGAGTGGTCATTAACAACATTCATTTGTATGCAAATAACCTAAGGCAGCTTTCACAACAGGCTTCCCCAGGTGGACTAAACGTGCCTGCTGACAGTTGGTTTACACCATTAATATGCTTAGCAAGCCCTTTCTTCACAGAGGGCA